ATCCGCACAGCCCGACCGCCCCGTCCCTCCTCCCTTCCCCCTAATCCCTCCTCCTCAGCCGCGCTGAACCCTCAGCCCGCAGCCCCTCCGCCAGCGGCTCCTTCGTGCCCCGGCCCCCGCCGCAGCCCCCCACCGCCGGTCCCCCCCACACCCCCCGCCCGGGACACCGTCCCCGCGTGGGGCCGCGCTCGGCCCGGCCCGGCCGGGTCGGACCCTCCCGCGGCCTCGGCCCCGCGGCTCACCAGGAGTAGGTCTGCTCCGCCATGGCTGCGGCTGGGCGGCCGGCGCTGGGCTCTGCGGAGCGGCCGGGCCCGGGCTCCTCCTCCGCCTCCTCCTCCGCCTCCTCCTCGCAGGCTCCGGGGCTCAGTGGCGGCCCCGCTGCGGCTCCCGGCCCAACATGGCGGCGGCTGTGAGGAGGGAGGGGAGCCGAGGGGGGGTCCCCGCGCGGGCGGGAAGGGCGATGGTGGCGGCGGGGCGGGCGGAGGCTCAGCAGCCGCGACGCGGGGCCGCGCTAGGGCGCCGGCGGGGCCTCATGGCCGGCGGGGTGGCGGCGGCGGCGACGGCGGCGCGGGGCGGGGCGGGGGCGGGAGGCGGCGGCACCGGGCGGCCGGGCCAGGCCGCGCCGCGTGCCCGCGCTCGCGCACGGCGGGGGCGGAGCCGCGCCGAGGGGCGGGGCCCGAGCCGCGCGCGGGGTCACGTGCCCACAACAGCTTCACGTGCCGCCGCCGCCCGCCGCGCGCAGGCGCTGTGGGGCGGGGCTGGTTATCGGGCCCGGCCGCGCCGCCGCGCGGGAGCAGCCCCGCGGGCAGGCGGGGTCGGGGCGGACGCGCCGGTGGAGCCTCGCAGCTCGGGGGGCCGTGCCTGGCGCTGGCGGGGCGGGAGAGAGGCGGGTAGACGGAGTTTCCTCAGGCAGCAAAGCAGCGCGAGCTGCGGGTGGGTTTTGGGGCTGGAGGCTTCCGGCGAGGAGCCGCGATTCCCGAGCTGAATCCCGAGCCGGCGTTTCCTTTCTCGGGGCGGCTCCCCCGGGCTGCGGGGTGCCGGCGGAGGGCGAGCGCGGCCGGGCACTCCGTGACTTCCCGGGAGTTGGGGTTTCCGTTGTGGCGCGGGGTTCCTCTGAACGAGGGTTGGGTGGTAAATGCATCGTTCAGGTAAAATAATTAATAACTGCGATGTTAATTCATCAACTGCACAGATGTTTATGGAGACTGCTGTATTCTGGAATTCATGATCTTTGAAACCAAGTAAAACCAATAGGATCAAATGCTCCAAATGTTGGGTTTTTTTTAAGGAAGGAAAATAACATTCCAGATACTTCGAGCAAATAAAAATCATGTGCTTCATTTTATCGCCAGTCTGATACTAAACCTCGGTCTCAGGCAGAGAAACTGTTCCATTGATATTGTCTCTCTCCTCCCTGGTTTCTGCTGCCAAACCCTCAGCCTTTCATGATGTTTCTGCCAAATGCAGGACTAGTGCTTTTTGCTCGGTTTGCTCACATGAGTAATCCTGGCCTCCTGGGAGTTCACTTGCAGCAATTTTGTGCAAGTGGGGCTTTAGTCCAGCTGTGCATTCCCACTCATTGTCCCTTTCAGTGTGGGAGGGTGAACAGCCAGTCTGAACATACAGTTAGATGTGACATAACTACATCAAATATAAATAGAAGAACAAATACCTGGGGCTGGTAAAAATAGGTATTTCTTTTAAAAACAACTATGAAGAAATTCTATGCCTCAACAGAATTTTGTTAAAATCTTCCAGAAAATAATGGGACATTGGGACATTCTCATTGCATCTACAGGGATGCCAGATGCCTCTGGAATCTGGAGCCTACTTTAGTTTGTTTCTATTAGTGGACTGAATAAATTATTCTCATGCTGTCCATATCATTTATACTCTAAAGTGGAAAAACCTTAGGCTAGTGTGTGGTCATGACAGAGCATTAAAAGTAAGGAACATCTCTGTTCATCTTTGTTGTGTCACCAGTTGCTGTGTAATCCTGGGCAGATCACTTCATCGCCGCCAGCTTGGCTCCTTAGTCAATACAGAAGAAACTGCAAAGTGTTGCAGCCACCTGAAGTTTTGGGGAGCTGCAGCAGGAAGATGCTGCATATGCAACACAGGTTTAGTTGCTGTTGGTTGAGGGAATGCTCAGGATGTCTGTACTCCAGTTAAACAAGGCTTTTCTTAAGATGGTGCTGGACTCTGAGGGTTTCTCCCCCTGGATCTTTATGCTTTCAAAACAAGTTGTTTGGGTTGTGTCACTTCAGTGTCCAAATCCTCAGTGTTTTGCACAGCCCTTTGGCCTTGTGGACAGGAATGACCTTAGAGCTCCCACATAATCAGCACTTTACCCACTTACTAACATCTGTTTGAGAATCGGATTTACCAACCATGAGGTGGAAAAGCACCGTGCCTGACGGGGTCATGGGATCCCTGCTGGGGTCAGTCATGGCAGCTGGGTGTGCTGGAAGGATGAGAGGGTATGCTAAACTTTCCTTCCATCTAGTTCAGGCTGGACTACCTGGGAAATCTTCCTCCCCTGCTTGATCTGTGCCCTTGGCTGGCACCCCATGCACAGTCCCTGTGCCTATCTTGGTAGATCAGAGAGCTTTGGTGCATATGAGAGGATTAGGGACAAGTCACACTCAAAACTGGAGCTGTGGGGTCCCAGCCCTGTCAGTTTGGGGGCCAACTCTGGTGTTCCCACATACACATACCCCCTGTCTAAGAAAACCCAGGCTCTGAGTAGGATTTGCACAATGGGTAAGTTCTCTGCTTTTGTTCTCCTCAGCACAGCAGAAATACCTGCAGAAATGCTCAGACAATGAACAAATAATTTGGAATCTTCACTCTACCGTGGTGCAAACCTCAGTGCCTGGAATGCCTGTTTGTGCTGCCCTTTTCATTGATTATAATGGAGTAAAATTAAGAAGGAAAAAGAACCTCAGTCCTTTTAAATCAATGTGGGGAAGGATAAATCAGGGCTTCAGCCTTGTCTTGCTACTAAACAGCCTTTCCTATTTTATTTTTTTTTTGCTGAGAATAAGGATGTAAAACTGATATTAGTATCTATGAAACAATATCACTGCTTTGTGTTCATATTGAAATAGCTTCCAGTTTCTCAGTCTTGCAAAAATTTCCAGCACATTAATTTGGCACAAATGATTTATAGCTGATGAGCAATTAAAGTATAATTTCTTTCCAGTATCTCAGGCTTTGTGCCTAGACTATTAAATGATTTTGCAAGCTTGCTCTATCATTACAGGATAGCGTTGGGATGATTTCACAGGAGAAATTTATTCCTCCTTGCAGACCCAGCATCTGCTCTCACTGCAAACTGGAGCACTGCTTGCATTCCTCAGATAATTTTCTCAGCATATCTTTTGTACAGTCTTTCTTCGGACCTACAAGAGAGCTTTAGTCTGAATTTCAGTGACAGTTTACTCTGACATTACAAAGTCCTCCCAAAATACCTGTTCTGCCTGGAACCTTTGATGTAGACTGATGCTTTACTTAAACCTGTCATGGTATTTCAGAACTAGCAGCAAACAAAACCATTTTTTAAATTATTTTTATATTTGGAAGGGCAGCTCCCAGAGGCAAGTGGGGTAGAGAAAAATCAGATGAAAGTACTGGCTACAAAGAGTCCTCACCTCTAAGTTGTTTAAATGTCAGCAGATGACATTTAGCTAACCATGTCTTGATTCTGCTGTAATGGAGGTGGAGAGAACCAGAAGAGCTTCATGTAGACACTTCACCCTTCAGGAAAGGACATGACAGGTATAGTTGTCAACCCTGCTTTGTTTAGGAAGGAACAAATAGCATGGATATGAGCAGAAAAGGAAGGAAAAAAACCCCAAAAATCAAAAGATCTGCTTCTGACTGTACAGCTGGGAGGTACACTAGGCTATCTGATTGTAAGATCCTTGTGGGATTCCCCTTTATAAACCTAATTAAAACGTGCACTGACCATGTGTGACACGATTCTCTTCACTACCACCTAGTGGGAAACTCCTCCATAACCCAGCTGCAGAGCTGCTACCAATCTTAACCTCAGCCTGATGGTAGAAACAAGGAATAAGTGGAGAGAGAAAATGACAGATTACTGGGAAGGAGGACACAGTCCTGTTTCCACATACAGGTAGAGAAATGTGTAGAGCAAGTCTGTAATTTAAACCCATTCTGCCCCATGGATTTACCAGATCACAACTCCAAGCTCTGCATCCAGCCCAGCCCACTGGTGAAAAGCCCAGCTTCCTTCTTGGTAAAATCACATTTTTCAATTATAATCACATATTTACACCAAAGACTACTACATTAGAACCTAAATGGGTATATATTTGAAACATTAAAACCATGTATTCAAGCAAGTCCTTCCCCACTGAGATACTCGGGGTTTGCACAAATAGCTGAAATCCAACCCTATGAAAACAAGGTATAAATGACAATTATCTCAGATTTTTCACGCTCCTGTGTGCCATTTGGGACTAAGCTCCCAATGCACAAATAATCAGTTTTGGTACTCATATAGCTTTTTCCCCCCCAGTAATAGAAATAGGGGTGAACATTACCATAATAGCTCTCACATTTCAAGGAGAGGATTATGTTAATGTCATTCAGGCCAGTAAAGCATTTAGCAGTCGCAGCAGGAAGAACAGTAAAATGGTAAAGAATTATTAAAAGAACCATTTCCCCGTGTTTCATTTGCCAGTGGCAATTTTGCCACACTATTCAGGGAATTCTATGGGTTCCCACTAGTAGGACTTTTATCATAAATATAAGTAGGCTTTTTTTCTTCTCTGTATGCTCCTTGAAGCCACATTACACTGGCTTTGTACCAGCAAATTACTGTATTTTTCATCATGTACACTTCATAATAGATATAATTCAGTAAATTAAAACATTAGAGGTAAAAATGGAGTTGATACAGGAGTCAGGCTTTGGGAGTCTATTCTGCTTTCCACAGCCCTGCTGTTCACAGGACTCTGCTGTCCCTTACTGTGGGTTTGCTCCAGTGCAATAAGCAGAATACAGACCAGTACATGTAAAATCAGAATAACACTCCTATTGTGTACCCATTCATACTTTCATGCAGTGTTTTCAGTTTAAGTAATTTGCTCACTTTATTTGATACAGGGGAGAAGAGATTACTTTGGAACAGTTAATACAAAACCAAATACCACAAATGTGAGAAAAACAAGCAGGTATCTCTTGGTGTCTTCAAACTTTAAGCTTTCCATGTTACAATGACCAAGATTATATTAATCAGAGTGACTTGAGAATCAAGTCATGGCCTGGGAAATGGTTACAATTAAGGAAATTAACATATAGTAAGCAGTTGTAATAGATAAAAAATGTGTATAGGAAACCCAAGTCCCCTTATTTCAAATATTCATCCTCAAGGCACAATCCCTGAGTACAATTCAGCTACAGGAGAATTGTCTGATTATGGCACTCTGCAACTGAGCTCTTCCTCCAATAGAACTTTAATCTAACTTCCATCCTTGACCTCTGCTATTCTTTCATCACCTCACAACTGCACTTGTAATAATCTAAGAAATATAATATTGCAATCCTTAATGCCAGGCTATAAAATAGGGATGCTGGCTAATTCACAACAGGAATCCCTTTCAGTCTGACCACTAGCTATTTTTAACATTTAAGAAACACTGAAAAGCTCACTAGCTTTCCTGCACTGAGGAATCTGAGATACTCAGTGGGGCTGAGCCATTCACTGGCACAGTCTGACAGGTTCCAATTAATGGAATGATGAAAGTGGGTAAGTTTATTTGCTTTTTTTGCTAATTGTCCAGGCTCCTATAGTTTAAAATGGACAATTCTGATAGACCAAGGGAAAAAGCTCTTCAGGATAAAGTGACAGAGAATATTTACCTCCTTGTTGGTATTTTAAATGTTTCCTTGTTCAGCTAAGTATTCTCCACATGGCATCCAGTTGTAGCATTCAGGGAGGTCCCATCAGACAAACAGATGTGCATTTCTCGTTTTATAGACTTCAAAGTTCAAAAGAAACTTCTACAGCTGAAGGTCTTCAAGGCAAGCAGAAGCAGCAGCATCAGAACTTCTGTGTGGATAAGGAATCTTTGAAACCACATCATATAGACATAATTTGTTGCTATGCTTTATTCTCTTTACAGCTTCCATTGACAAATATTGCTGTTCTTTGTTTAAACTTAATCTGTGTCCCCATTGCCCCTCAAATATTCAACAGGTTTATGGAAAGTCTTTTTTAACAAGAACAGTGGTAGTATTTTCCACCTTGGTTTATGTAAAAGAGATCACCATGCCAAAGAGAGGCAGAAATAAGTAACACAGAATGACAGCATCCCCTCTGTCACATATTGCTCCACAATCTGGTGTGTCCCTTTCCAAAATCCTTGAATTATAAGGACATATCATGCAGAAACTGTGTGTCATGGCTGGATACTGTAATTACAATTGAAAATTGCCAGTAACATTGTCATGTCTACCTGAGAGGCAGGAATAAAGGAAAACTGTAATAGCAAATAAAATGCATAGAAATTGTATCAACACACTGATGATAAAATGCCAAAAAATGCTCATCATTCTTTAAATGCTCTTGTGACAAGTGCAAAACCAGCACAACTCTTTATAAGAGTATGACCCCAAAAAAATCTTTAGAAGCTGAAGTTGTATTTTTTACATTAATGTTCACAAGAAAATTTCTTACAATAAATGTTTTTACATGGACTCGGAAATCTTACTTGTTTTTAGCCACACAAAGTCGTCCGTATCCATCAGCGCTCTGTTAACGCCCTGCAGGGAGGGGACGTGGTGCGCTGGGCACAGAGCAGATCTGAAATAAAAGGCAAGAGTTAACACAGCCCCGCCCGGTGCCTGGAGGGAGAAGGGTCCCTCTGCAGGAACTCTGTCCTGCAGCTGCTGACTCAGGAGCCTGGAGAGCTTGGCCAGCGGTGCCCACAAGGGAAAACAGGGACCAAGGTCCTCTGCAGCACTGTCTTGGGACACTGCCCAGTCTGGGGACAGCCCTAGCAGGCTCCGTTTAGCTCAGGCTTGATGGGAGTGTACAGACACAGGCAGCTGCCCTTGGCAAGCTTCCATTGAGACAACAGCTTTACATCCTCCAAGGAATCACTCGCATGAGACACTCGTGCATCGAGTCCACAGGTGCACATCAAGTTACTCCCTAATTCAGCTACTCAAAGTAGATAGATTCATTCATATAATTTCAGATCAGAAAGGACAGTTTAGTGATACAGATCCCTGGAGAGCCGTTTTAAGCAATTCCAGCCAAGCCAAGGATCATGTTTTAGGAAATCACCCAACAGGTGGGAGCAGAACCTCAGAGCAGGGCTGGTATCAAGAAGGGATCGAGGCGGATGATAAAGGGACACCACAAGCTTGCCCAGAGCACTCATCAGAAGCAGCAAGGCAGTTGATGATAGAGTAGGGATTTTGAGCATGACCCAGCACCCAAGGCTATCCTTTATCAAATACATGAATCACAAGCTCACAGAAGCAAGCCCTGCAATCCCCCAAATTAGTGGAAACACTGCTCCTGCTCATAGCTGAGCAATAAACATGGCAAGGTAAAATGGAGGTACTACTAGTATTTGCACATCAAGATCCCCAGCAAGCCAAAGCCAGAATTGAAGAAGCCACTCAAGTTTTGATGCTCTGCCACAGAAACCAGCTGGAGCCCCAGAACACAAGCTGCAAGGCTTGGGAATGTTCACATAAAGCCAGTAGTCGCCTCGCCCTCTGCTGGGGGTTGCACAAAGGCCACTGCAGCTGCCAGTGTGGCTTTCTGTCAGCCCAAAGCCTTTGGCAGGGCCTAACACTGGCTGTACTTCACCACTGCCAGAGCTCTGAGCAGGTTCTGTGATATTCCAACAGCAGCACCTTGTCCTGAACCGTGGGCAGCCAAGCACAGCTCTTCCTTCTGGGTACTCCACCTTCTTCCTTGTCCAAAACTAACAGAACCAGAAGTAAGCCATGCTTCTGCATCCCCATCTTCCTAGTTTTCTTTCCATACTTACTTTTCCATGCCGCGGATTTTTTATCCTTTCATTTTCTTCTCCTTCTTTCTCCTGCTTCCCCCTGCCTTTCCCCCTCCCCCTGCTTTCTCTCCCTCTGCACTTTGTGAACTGCTGCGGCAGTGCTGAAGTCCAAAGTTCAGTAACTTGCTAAAGCACACAGATAAATATGAACCTTGGAGAATTTACATTTGCTCCAATGTAAACAGATAGCCAAGGGTCCCTTTATCAGCACTGGCTCAGGACAGTCGTGGGGGGTCTGAAGTGGCTCAATTTTGTATTTTGTTTTTTTGGGGGGGTGTAAAGGCGGGAGGCTGTGCTGTGCCCACTCTCCTGACAGTCGGGCGTGTTACCTCAGGAACATGGTGTAGGGAAGCTGGAAGCAGGATAACCTGAAATTCAAACAAGAGACACCAGGCTGAAGACCATGGTCTCGAAGCTGACTCATCTCCAAGTGGAGCTGCTGGAAGCACTGCTGGAGTCGGGGCTGACCAAGGAGACCTTGATCAAGGCACTGAGTGAAGTGGAACCCTACGGGCTCCAGAGCGAAAGCCAGCGCGCTATCAATGCCCTCCAGACTGAAAAAGGGGAGCCCTGTCCCGACATCCCCAACCTCCCCAACGGAATGGGGGAGTCCAGGGTATCAGAAGATGAAACCTCAGATGACGGAGAGGAATTTACCCCTCCAATAATGAAGGAGCTGGAAAACTTGAGCCCTGAGGAGGCTGCTCACCAGAAGGCTGTGGTGGAAAGACTATTACAGTAAGGACAGATTTACTGTTCCTCTTTGCCGTTTTCTTGCGCTCTCCCTCTAACTATCTTTTCCTTTCCCCTTCTCCTCAGTGTCCCTAGTATTCACAATTGATCTAGCTGCACAGTCTTCATCCATGACAGGACTAGCAGCCTCCAAACACCCCCAAATACTTTATAAATGCTCAGATTTTCCTTTTACCTCACTTAAAATGCATGAAGGAAGCTATGGAGCCTGATTATGTATTTGACATGCTTACAGCATCAGGCTTCAGAATAGTCCAAGGCCTGTGTAACTCTCATCTTTTTGACTGAATGTTAGGGTTTAGAATTTAAATTTTTAATACAATTCACAGTTTCAGTTATCAGGAAAGAAAAAAAAAAAACAAAACCCTGGTCACACTGAGCTGGTGCTGTATTTGTATAAATGACACAGTGAAGTTGTAACATTTCCCTGCTGTAGTTAAGGAGAATGATATTGTTATTTTCACTGGGGTTCGCTATAGATTATTGGCCAAAGCAAATCAAGAGACCTTGTTGTTCTTCTGAGTGTGAAGTTCCCCGACTTTGGTGGGGATTTTTCTTGTAAAAAGCACACACCAAACACAAGCTGAGGTTAAAACCTGGACAGAACACTGAGCTTCTACCATCTGTAGAACTGTCACAGTTACAAAATACATACACAGCAACAGTTCCAGGGTTTGCTGCCACACACATTTGCCTTTGCCTATAAGCATTTTTGAGATCAAAAGACAGGGAATGTACCCTGAACCAATAAGGCTCACAACAGACTCAGAGAAACATTCACTCAGTTTCCCACTTGGGATTCTTACTGGGATACAATCCCCATGGGAGACCCATGAGGTTTGTCCAAGCAAGGATTAGGCCCATCCTACCATCTATCACAACAGATTCTTGCCTGTTTTGGGGCTAGTTTGAAATGACAAGCTGATAGAAGACAGAGGGGCAGCAACATCCTGCTCCTAAAATCTTCACTAAAAATCCAGCTACGGAATTTCTCAGGCTTTCTAATCACTCTCTTTCACAAGCAAAGGAAATCAACAGAAAATATAAAGAAAATATCAAATCCCACCACAAAAGGCCAGAGCTAAGAAAAGAGCATGACAAGAGTTAGCATTCACTCTAAATACTGAAAAGAAAGCTTGTTGGCAGATTGGGAGTGATGATTGTGCAGAACCTAAGAGAGGAAAATTCACTGGATCTGCTCTTACCTGGGTGGGGAAACATTCCCAGTAATTCAGTCTTCTTCCTGGCCCAGTAGGTCTCATTTCTTCTGCACTTCCAGCTCTTCTGCATCTTTTTCTCTACTTCCTTTACATCTTTCAGATTCTTTTTACCTGTTTCTCTTCTCTCCTCACTATTGCTGCTTCTGCTATTCCTCCCATTTTGTTGTTTCCTTGGCTGATTCTCTCTCTGCCTCCCACTCTTTTTCTTCCCCTCATCCTTGTCTCCTTCTCATCTTCCTGAGTCTGCGTACAGGTCTTGGGGCAGTTTGAGCCCAGTGGCACCGGGCGGGCCCTGGCTAGTTACTAATTATCCAATGGCTTTATTATTTCTCTTTTGTCTTATAAATTTATAGATGAAAAGACCCTGATAAGCTTTTTGATCATTAACTTTTGATGGTTTATCAAGTATCTCTCCAGAAAGGAAGGTGTGGAACTTGAGGAAGGCCCCTCTGGCTTTGTCCCTTTTTCTCCAATGAGTGGGTGAAGCAGGACTGAAGTGACATCTGCTAAGAACAGACACATGGATGGAGGGAATTCCTTCCTGTCACCCTCACTGCAGCACCATTTTTGGTTTCTGATCCTCCCTGCCTTTCTAGGATCTTGCTGCCAGTCTTCCCTGTGCTTACCAGTCTCACCACAAGTCTTACCTCTCTTCCAAACCTGTGACATGAACACTTTCTGATGAACAGTCAGTCTGCTGGGCAGCATTTCCATTTCACAAATAGAAACTGAGGTACAGACGAATTCTAGGACCTACCTAAACCCCTGAGACAGCACAGAGGAGACTGGGCAAGGACAGGGATCTCCTAAGCCTCACACTGGCTCTTAATTACAAAGGCTTTACTCTGAAACATCAGAGATTTCTGTCACAGCCTCCCCCACTACAGGATAGAGCAATTCACTTCTGCTGTTGAGGACAGTATGAAGACACCAGAAGCCTCAGTTTCAGAAAAAAATTACAAGTACAATTATGGAGGTCTATAATAGATCAAAATTAATCAAGTTAAAATGAAAATAGTAGGAAGCCTGCATTGACATATTTCAAATTTCTCATCAAATCAACAGTGTGTCTAAAAATCTGTTCAAAGCATCTGAATCAGTATCAGGGATTGATAATACCCTAAGAAGTTGTTATATACTAATAAACGTATTTTGGTTTTGAGATCAAGCCTTTCCATTAATAGATGCCTAAAAGTAATGTCCCTTAAAATAGTATTATAAGTATTGTAAAGCAGGGCAGATTAGTCTGTGGTAGCAATTACTTCCAGCAATAGATAAAAGAAAGGCAGGCAAGAATCTCCATGCCCAGGGATTCCCAGAAAAAGGTCGATGCTTGCAAAACTATTTCAGCATCTACACAAGGGTTTCAAATGCAAAAACCAGATGGAGGCAGTTCTCCCTTTAAACAGAAGCCTTGTTGGGCATTATTAACAATTCCTGGTCTGCAGACCCAATTTTAACAGAGAGATTGACTTGTGGGCAGCTTTGTGGTAACTGCAGACATTGCTTATAAAGCCATTGCTTTATAAAGTAGAATCAAGAAAAGTATCCATTATTAGGCTTTCCAGGAGCTGGAAAGAGAAAAAATTGACAGCATCAAGAGACCAACTATGTCTTCACAGGATCACTGAAGTTGAAACCAGTTTGAAAAATTCTGGTCAAAGCTGAGTAGAACAGAGAAGATACACCCACAGGGCTGGGTGCACCCATGGGTGCTGATTAGATTTTGTCCCTACAGAGAAAACATGCTAAAAGCAGTTCAGATAAAGGTTTCTCTAGGGGGGAATTAGCATCATTTCATTTTGTCCTTTCATATGTCTCATTCATCTCCCGTAGATTTACAGTTTGAATAAAAACATTCTTTCCATATCAATCCACACAGAAAACAAATTGCATCTATGATAAGAAATAAATGACTCAGTAGGGAGGTAGAGCTGTGTGGAGAAACTCCCAGATATTCCTAGAATATAAAGCAAGAAGGAGGCTACCTTGGGGGAAGGGATCATACTACTGCAGGCAAAGCAAGTGGAGAGAGGTATAGCAACAATCCACCTGTAGGGCAAGGGGTGAAATTCCATGAGGAAAGAGAGAAATTGAGATAAGCAATAGATTTCCCCTGGAGGCAGGGATAAAAGCATGTTTTCCAAGAGGAAAAAAGAAAACAAAGATATATAATGACAAAGGTCCAGTCTTTCCCCCTGCTTAGAATGGCTCTAGCTGGGGAATCTGGAGATGAAGCTGCCACACCCCTTTCATTTCCACATATAAACCAAGATGAGGCAAACCAGGCCAAGTTCAACAGAAAGGAACACTGCCAGGATGGATGGTCTTACCTTCCCTCTGCCCAGCCCGGCTCCAGGCTGGGCTCTGGGTTGTGAAGCAGCTCCAGAGGAAAGGGCCGGGGAATGGTCCTGAGCACTTCACAGCTCTGAACCTCTGCTTGAGCAGGGTCTGGTCCAAAGCAGCAATTCAGAACCCACCTCAGGGAAATAAAGGCTTCTCCCACCTGAGAATCAGGACAGAAAAGAAGGGGAGAGAGAGAGAGAGAGAAAAAGGAAGAGGAGAAGAAAGAAAAGAACAAAGGAAAAATAAAGTCAGGAAGAGTGAAGGAGGGAGAAGGTCCCCTGAACGTTACATCTCCAGCTCTCTGGAATGGGTTTTCTTTAATGCTAACAACTTGATATTTACTTTCCATTTAAATTTGAGATGTTGCTATAAATTATCAACCAGCCTCTTGTTCCCTTTGAGTTTATAACTAACTACCTGGGTTACTTATTGTTCAGGTAACAAAAGGGAGGTGAAAACGCCCTTAAAAAGTGACCTCAGAACTAAGAAAATGGGAAGCTGACATGGAGAGAAGACCCTGGCCCCTGTGGTGGGGATGAGTCATGGAGAAGGGCTATGCTCACATTGCAATAAGCAACTGAGAGCAGGAGAACAAGACTTCAGAAGAAGGAAGTAAAAGCTATAACTAGGAGACAGATTAGACCCTGGAGAACAAGACCTTGGGGAGACAGTTTGCATCTGAGGAAAAAGGGAAACTAAAAGGCAGAAAACAGTCTTGGAGATAGGGAAGGAGAGCTTGGCAAGGCAGACCCATTTGTGTAGTTCTGACTCACTGAAACAATTGAGATTTGACTGCAACAAGCAGGACAACTCAGCTTAGAGTGAAATCCTTCCCTTTGAGTCAATGATAGTCTCATAGCCAGTGAAAGAGAAAAGGTTTCAACTTCTGATGTCTTAGCCTGTGATGGTGGCTCTGCAGATGGAACTGTGTATTTGAGCAAGGGTTCAGCTGGCCAGACTGTCATCACTTGGACTGTGGTGTAGCCTTGGGCCTAAAGGACTTGCTGCACTGGTTTTGCAGACTGGCCTTCGACAATGTACAGAGTAGCCAGGATTTCATACAGCTGTCCTAGGAAACCACACTGTACTAAGATTCCCTGCACTATTTTGCATCACAAAGCTCCCTGCCATGTCAAAAGAAGACAAAACCCACAAGTCTTTAACCACTGTGAGAAGAGACTCCCAGAACTTACTGGTTTATTCCTGGTTTATTTATCTCAACAGGGGAGACAAAACTGGCTCAACTGGGCTGCAGAAAGGAACTAATACATAACAGAGGCTTCATCAGTGGCAACACAGCCTTTCCTCTTCCCAGCCAGAACACAAATCAAAGAGGACAGCTTCCCAGTCAGAGTCTTTTCTCCTCTCACAGGGACTTGGACAATGAACACAGGGTGCAGGTGCTGGCCAGACTATCGCAAGTACAAAGGCAGAAGACTGGTTTAGGCAGCAGGAGAAAAAACAAAACAAAAAACAAACAAACAACAATAAAAAACCCACCCAAACATGAGGAAAGAAAAGCTTTCTTAAATTCAGCTCAATATGAGGCTTTTGAAAGACAAAGATAGTTAAGGGAAGATGCTAAAAACCAGAAGCCTCTATGGCAAGTGCTCCAATGTAAAAGAGAAACAAATGTTCTATTTTAAGCAGGTTCTTCAAAAAGCTGTAACTGACACCATTTGTGTCACACTTTAACTGCTGTGGAGCAGTCTTGGACTACTACAGCCCCTGGGAGAGGGGCTGCAGGGGAACAGAGATAAGGGTGTTTGTACTGAGAGAACAGGTGTGGACTTTGTCCTCCTTATCACTGTGCAGCCTCCAGCAACCTCCTGAGTCAACAAAGCCATGAACAGCACAGTTGCTGCCTGTTGCTCAGACATGTGTGCTCTTGTGACAGTTTCTGCACCATCCCAGGTACCTTTTTTTCTCCCCACTGCTCCTTTGATGCTGGTGTTGAATGTGACACCAATGTCTTCCTACAGCACTGCAAACCATTTCCTCCAGACATTTCACACAGAAGGATGCTCTTGTTCAAAGTGAGCCAGGAGCTATTCTGCAGAAATGCTCTGGCACTGTTTGGATTTAGACTGATGAGTTTTGCATCTTTATTTCTACTGTGACTTTCAGCTGTGGTGAAATCAATACACATAAAGTCACAGTCATGTTTTTTCTATTTTCCTCAAGAACCTTAATGGATATTCTAACTGGAGATAATAAAACCCAGAGGATCACGTTAATTATAAAATCCCAAACTGTTCCTCAAATTCTGTGAGCAGGTCTCAAATAGTTCTATTCCCTCGGCTGTTACCCAAAGGAGGGCAGCAATAGGAGGAATAAGTGATTTGCCTTTAGGTCTATATTGCATTTGGAAGCTCTGAGTAGATCTAGGTGTGAACCCATGTGTTTGAGTAACACGTAGCAGATGTGTAAGAACATAATTCTGGATGATTTGTCATATACATATGCATAAAGAGCTGTCATGTCACAGTATAATGACAGCCTGTTTCCATTTGCTGAATCATTGCAGGCAACACAGCCTGGACCAGAATCAGGGCATGAGTCAACTTCAGTCTAGTATCACAATCAATCTGTCTTGGAAAACCCAGTACATCTGCCCCATCTGCTTTAATGAGAGGGGGATAGAGAAGTTATGTAGGGAAAGGGAAGAGAGAAGGAAATTCCCCTGGTAAGCAAAGTCTCCTCCTAAGGGCAGCCCTAAGTATGTACAGACAGCAGTTCAGAGGAAGCCATTGCTATACCTTTTGCACTGTATTTCCAATGTCACATAGTTTTACCCTGCACACAGAGTCAAAGCTGAGCAAGGAAGCACATCGAGGAGCAGCTTTCCCCCCTGGCCTGACCAAATGTGATGGTGATGATTGACAAGTGCCCCTCAGGAGCTACTACTGCACCTCCTTGAAATCCAGGTCTGCTGAGAGCAGGTGTTTGATCTCTCTCCCCTGAGAAATGTTTTCTTTTCCTTCCAGAGAGGATCCCTGGCGAGTAGCAAAGATGGTGAAGTCTTACCTCCAGCAGCACAACATCCCTCAGCGTGAGGTGGTGGACACCACAGGTCTGAACCAATCCCACCTCTCGCAACACCTCAACAAGGGCACTCCCATGAAGACCCAAAAACGGGCAGCCCTGTACACCTGGTACGTCCGGAAACAGCGAGAGGTGGCCCAGCGTAAGTGTGGCGACAACTGCTCCCCTGTCTCAGTTTCACAATGGCTTCTGCTCTCCCTTGCTCGTCATTACTCCTTATTATTTTCAAGGAAAAAATTCCCTTACCCCTTTGCGCTTGCAGAATTCACACACGCTGGCCAGGGTATACTGACAGACGAGCCCATGGGAGATGACCTGCCCACCAAGAAGGGAAGAAGAAACCGCTTTAAGTGGGGTCCTGCCTCACAACAGATCCTGTTCCAAGCCTACGAGAGGCAGAAAAACCCCAGCAAAGAAGAGAGGGAGGCACTGGTGGAAGAGTGCAACAGGTAAGGCTGGCTGTGTGTCTTTGAGGAAGAGGGGCACAGCACTCTTGGGGTTTGCTGGGGCCGCTGGAAGGCAGGACAAAGGTACAGCACTGGGTGGCACTGCTGACACCAGCCACACTTAAATTAAATGCCACAACTGATCATTCCTTGTCCACAGAACTCAATGCCCCAGGTCTTGCAGGACCCTTCCACAGAGTGTGCCAGACCACAGCCACATTCTGGTGTGCACTTACTCTGTGTCTCTGACTAAGCCCAGCTCAGCAAGGCTCTTCTTGTGTTTTTCCCAACAGGGCAGAGTGTATTCAGAGAGGTGTTTCCCCATCTCAGGCCCAGGGACTGGGCTCAAACCTGGTGACAGAGGTCAGGGTTTACAACTGGTTTGCCAATCGCAGGAAGGAGGAGGCTTTCCGGCACAAGCTGGCCATGGACACCTTCAGCGGACCACAGCCCACCTCTGCCCCTCCTCTAACTCCCCACAGCTCTTCCTCCCTCCAGCCACCACCTGCTCTCTCACCCAGCAAAGTTCACGGTAAGAAACAACCAGAGGGAGATCTGAAAGAGGGGTGAACCTCCCCAAACTCAGTCATCCGAACTCTTTCCCAAGTCCAACCCTTTAGGAAATGGATCTACAGATAGAAAAAGCAGATTTGCTACAAGGGAAGAGCAAAGGTGACAAAGAGACCATGTTTCTGGGTGAAGAGAGTGGCTAGAATGTCAAGGGAGATAAAATTCAGTAACAAAACCCACAGCCAGAGCTTCTCACTTACTGTGAGGCCCCCCAGTTGGCAGGCATCAACCCCAAACTTCCTGTTCCAGGAGTCATCACTGCCCATCAGAAGTCAGCTCCATGCCCTTTAAGTGTGCACTTTACTCCTTTCAATGCCAGCCCCATCAGACTCTGTGACAGAGGTTTTAGGCATGAGGAAAGGTCATTCTCCACCCAAAAAGAGCACAGCTTTTTCAGCTTCACAGGCCAGAGCTGGGGGGTTCCCTTGCTCTGGGAAGAGATGATCTCACCAACACTCCTCTCTGCAGCCACATCCAGAGGGGTGGTTTCCTGCTCCCCACAGCACTCACAGCCAGGCAGTGTCTGAGGGAGCAGCTACACCAAATTACAGGGAAAAGTCAGGGCAAGGTGTGAGTGCCTGTTCTTCTAGTTCCCCTACTGACCATGAAGTATCTGCCCAAGTATCTGGTGACAAGTGCCTGCAAAGGAAACTGAATTTAATGCCTGCCTAAGTTACTCAGTTTCTCACTTGTGACAACCAGTTTCCCTCCTGTTGTGATGCAGGAGTGAGGTACAACCAGCAGCCCGCCAGCGAGGCAGAATCCTCCAGCAGCAACCACCATGGGAACAGCTCCATGGTGACCACCCAAACCATCCTGCATCAGGTTTCGCCCCCTGGACTGGAGCCCAGCCAGAACCTGCTGAGCACAGACACTAAGCTGGTAAGTGATGGGTGCTTCGGTTCTGCTGACTGGAAGATGTCAGACCATCTGCCTGTGCTCATAATATGAACTATTCATGGGTATTTTTTTCTAGAATGTTCTTAAGCCCACCTTCTTATGTTACATAGTCATATGTAACATATCGTTACATAACATCTTATATAACTGTATGTTACATTAGAGTCACTTTGCACTGACCATGTAAGATCAATAGTCC